TAACAAAATTCAAAGTTCACTCCTATTAACAGTTGTATGTTGCTCCTGGTTCCCATTAGCATCTTTAGTTTACTGAGTCCCTTTGAGCACCACGGTGCCGCTTGATGAGTAAGTCAGGATTTGCTCTCAAGGTGGAGAATATGGGGAGGACAGTCACAGGGGAGTCTCTGTGGGCACTACCAAAAGCTGACTGGGCAGAGGAGCAGGAGGCAGGTTCATGAGCCACAACTCACCTGTTTACTCATGGACTTTGAAGACCTTTTGTCATATAACAGTCTGTCCCAGTGAATAGGGTCCGGTACAGAAGCATGGCCAAGGGAGAGCCTATAGAGACAGCTCTTGGAGGCTTCAGAAAGTGGAATATTCCTTCAACCTCCTTCTGCTATACAGTCCATGCAAACAGACCACGAGATTCTGGTATCCATCTCCTAAGGGAATATAAGAGCTTATACCCATACACTGGACACATAATAGGCATGCATACATATATACCACACAAGAACACACATGTGCAGTGCACACAAAGGTGCAGTCTGTTTCAGGTCTCTGTTGTATGTTTTTTAACATTCAAATGATAAAGGAATAATCTCAAGCAGTCTCTTTCAATGGATAATTATTCTCCTCACTGAAAATCCACTGCTTGAAGGTTTGAATTTGTGCAGTTTCACCCTCCTGACTCTGCTTTTTCTTATGTTTTTTTTTGTGCAAATTAAGGAGCTCTCTGCTACAAGAATTCATCCTTTGTAGTTATTTACAACAGAGGCAGCGAACAGACGCAGCAGTTTGCGCAGCAGTTCGCGCAGAAGGGCGCCAGAAGGCAAAGAAGGCATCTCTCCATTTTGCACATTTTGCACAGTGGTGTGTCCTTCCCCGGGGCATGGTCATGACACGCTGCAGAGCACATTCCCCAGTGGCTGTGGGAGGTGCTGCATTGGCTGTGTCTGAGGCCTCAACCCAGACAGACCCTCAGACAGCAGATGCAGCTCTGCAGGTGTCAGGCTGC